AGAGGTATGACTTGATCTCAGAGGGAGAGGATGGGGAGGGGGAGAGGGAGAGGGAGAGGGGGAGGGAGAGGAGGGGGAGGGGGAGGAAGAGAGAGAGAAAGAGAGAGAGAATGTGTAATATGCTCAATATCCAATCCAAGATCACAGCCATGCTTCCTTCATCAGGGGAGTAGAGTGAGCAGGTCCTGAACCCCAGAGTGCCAGGGTCTGCCACAACCTGGGTTCAGGACCCCCCCACGTGTGTGTGTGTGTGTGTGTGTGTGTGTGTGTGTGTGTGTTCCCATTCACTATGCACACTTCTTGAAGGTGTGGAATGAAAATATTACTTCAGACCCTGCCACTTCCATACCTGTGTTCTTCCTCACCCACATCATGACACCTCCCAGGATAAAACCTAAGATCACCACAGCTCCAAGGACAGCACCAACCATGGTCATGATGGGGATGGACTGAGGAGGCTATGGGAGTGGAGGAGAAGAGAATGGAAAGTGAGTCTCATGGCCCCACCTATCAAGACAGGATCTGCCCAGGGTCTGCAGAAGGCTTCAGCTTTTCCTGACCCAGCTTTGCATCCATACTTTCTTTGCCCCACCTCAGGGTGAGGGGCCCAGGCAGGCCCTCATCATCCACATGGCATGGATATTTCTGCTCCTCTCCCACCACAGATGCCCACTTCTGGAAGGTCCCATCCCCTGCATGTCTGGTCTCCACAATCTACATGCCCTCCCCCCCCCCATCTGCTCTTTCTCATCTCTCTTCCAGGTCAGGGTGGTGTGTCAGCAGGGTAGAATCCCAGGGCTCAGCACCTGAGTGGGATGGGTCACATATGTCTCTGGTGGATTTGAGGACAGGAGTTGTAAACTTCAGTTGTTTTTGCATTCTTCCTGGGCACTTCTGCAAGGTCTGTGAGACCTTCTTGGATAATCTTTTCATTGTGATGTTCTAGAATCTGGGTGAAAGAGCCCAGGGTCAGTGAGCTCTAGGTGCTCATCAAGAAAAAGGGACTTCTGCTCCTGACTAAGTGGGGCTGTGTGACTCTGCATCACTGCAGTCTGACTCCAGTGACTGCCTGTGTGTAGAGAAATAGGTCTGAGAGAGGACATGGTGTTCAATGGGCTGCAGAATGGAGGAACTGGGGTTGTTTCAGAGATCTCCTCTCCCCCCACATCGAGACAGACTCTGAACTGTCTTGTGAAAAGGGTGAATCCTGAGAGTGACTCTTTTGTCAAGAAACCCAGGAGTGGCCAGGCATTGTGGCACATAGCTTTAACCTAAACACTTAGGTGGCAGAGACAGATGTATCTCTGAATATGAGGCCAGACTGGTCTCCATAGAGAGTTGTAGGCTACAACTCTCTGTGTGTAAGACTACACAGAGAGATGCCTTATAGTAGTAGTAGTAGTAGAAGAAGAAAAGAAGAAGAAGAAGAAGAAGAAGAAGAAGAAGGAGGAGGAGGAGGAGGAGGAGGAGGAAAGGAAGGAAGAAAGGAAGAAAGGAAGAAAGAAAGAAACCCAAGAGTGCTGTTCCTCCTCCTCTTCTGAGGGCTGGAACATTATGTCCAATGCAGAGACACCTGTTGTTTCCTCTCAAATCAGAAATGAGACAAGAGTATCCAATCTCCACTCTCTTTATCTGATACAGTGTTTGAAGTCTCAGTTATTACAATTAGACTAGAAAAAACATAAAAGGAATCAAAATAGGAAAGGAAGAAATCAAACTATTCCTATTCCCAGACTAATGTTTCTTTACTTAAAAGACCCTGTTTATTCTACTGGAAAACTCTTGGACATAATAAACACTTATCATTGCAGAATACAGAATCAATATAAAAAAAGCTGCTTTCATTTATACCAACAGTGTACTCTCAGGAAATGAAATTAGGGAAAACACAGAATTCAAATTACCTGCTGTAGACTAAAGTATATAGGGACATATCTTACCAAAGACATATAAGAACTCCACAATGAAAACTTCAAATACTGGCACAGGTAATCATAGAAAACAATGTTAGAGGATGGAAAGACAATCCATGCTCCTGGACTGGCAGAGTTAATGCTGTGAAAATGGCCACACTACCATAAGCAATCTACAGGATTAATGTAATACTATCAAAATTCTGAAATATTTCACATCTAGAAAAAATAAAGCACATGGAATCACAAAAGACCACAAATAACCAAACATTCTTAAAGATTAAGAACACTGCTTTTAATCACAGCACTCAGGAGTCAGAGCCAGGCAGATCTCTGTGATTTCATGGCCACTTGGCTTACAGAGAGAGATCCAGGAAAGGTGCCAAAGCTTCACAGAGAAACACTTTCTCGAAAAAACATACAAAACAAAACTAAAAAACACTGCTGGAGGTGTTAACAATCCCAACATCAAATTATACTGCAGTTATAGGGGCACCTGTCCACAGAATGGGGTCCAGGTTCTCCAGGTATCTTCAGAATCTTTCCATGCACTTATCCTCCAGGTATGCCCTGTGACTCTCTGCCTCACCAGCCTGCTCCAATTCCAGCCGCCCAGGATCTCAGGTCCTGTTCAGGGAGATGTAATCGCAGCCATCATAGGCTTATCATTCATATCCATGGAGGAGGCAGCCACATCACAGCCAGACATCACCTCGATGGTGTGAGAGCCTGTCCCCATCCCTGGGGTCAGTCCTGCTCCATGGCCAAGGCAGTCCAAGGCCTCCACTAAACAGTATAGGAAACCAGTTCCCAGTCTGCATCTTGGGTAGAACCTAGGATCTTGGACCCAAGGGGAAAGAGTCTGTCCTAGGCGAATTGGAGCGGTCAAGATTTCCGACCCGCGGTCACTCACCTTCATGGCTATGCTTCTGGTAGCCAGACAGGGCCCTCAGAGTCCCTAGGAAAGTCTACTGGGTGATCTTGACTTTTCCTGTCTCCCTCTCCCAATACTCTGACCCCTCCTGCTCCACCCACGGCGACCGGGGCTCCATCTTCGGAGATTCCTCGTGGCTGTGGAAGCCCACGAACTGAATTTCGTTCACGTAGTGGACTTCCATGAACCGGGGCATCCCGAGGTCCGGCCAGGCAGGGCGGTGTGGAAATACTGCAGCGAGTATGAACCTGGGGACTGGGCACAGTGAGAACCCGACCCTTCTCCTGGAACCTCAGCCAGGTGATAGGGCATGAAGGGGAGCAGGGCACAGGGCTCGGGACAGGTGAAGAAGGGGCCAGATGGTCTAGCTGGCCAGTGTGGGAATGGTCTTCCATGGTGCCACCTGCTCCTCCCCGCAGAGGCCATTTCCCTCTGGACCTGGCACTCACCTGTGTTTGGGACAGAGCTGTCCCCAGCTGCTGCAGGAAGGTGCTAGGGGCCATGGCCTCCATCAGGGCTGGGCACAGGACTGAGTCTGTGCAGAAGGTGCTAGGGGCCATGGCCTCCATCAGCGCTGGGCACAGGACTGAGTCTGGGCTTTATAAGCAATGCAGTCTGGTTCTCCAGGGTCGCTCCACTCAAGGGAGATGAATATCGCCAACTTGTCTTCAGTGTCCAGGCAGGGGGACCTGAGACAGGTAAAGCTCTGGAGAAGTGAAGCCCTCCAGCTCTGGGCTTCTCCATCACAGAACTCACCAGCCTGGACACTATGACTTTGTCCTGAACATTTACAACTGAAATAAAATGATTTTAATACTGTGTCCATTAGAGCTGGGGTCCCCTGACATGTGGCTTCCTCATATGGCACCTGAAAAGGGCGCAGGTTCCTGGTGACTGACCCCAGGATTCCTCTCCTACTTGAGGCTGTTCTAGCTACAGCAGCTGGTTCCACCAGAATCAGCCCTGACCCGAGAGAGAGAGAGAGAGAGAGAGAGAGAGAGAGAGAGAGAGAGAGAGAGAGAGAGAGACAGAGAGACAGAGACAGAGAGACAATGGAGACATACACGAGAGAAAGACAGAGGAGAGACAGAAGGACACACAGAGAGATACAAAGAAAGGGACAGAAAAAGAGAAGAGATAGATAGATAGATAGATAGATAGATAGAAAGAGAGAGATGAAGTACAAGGGAAAGAGTGAGCAAATCCTGAATATCTCATAGGAGGGAATTAAGGTTATCCCTGACATGAGCACAGTATAAACCACTGAAAACCAACACTATAATCTGGCATTGCCTCAGATCCCCTTGAGTCAGAGTATCTTCTTTAGCTATCTTCTTTGTCCCTTAGGATTTAACTTAAAACCGTTAAAATTCGAGACAACAACAAAGGTATATCAGTGTCCTATTTAGTCTCAACAACAACTTTGTAATGAAGTTCTTTGTTTGAACCTCACTCTTTTACCCTGTATTCCTTTGGAAAACATTCCTTTGCTCAGATAACATGAGCGAAGTTGCCATGCTCAGGTTAGCTACATATTCTTGTTTTACTTTATACAAGCTGCCCACAATGTAAATGGATGAACTTCTTGGCTGAAGATACAAACCAGAACTTTGAAATACATGTTTCCAAGTCAGGACTGAAGTGAGCTCATGGAGGGGTTTCCTGAGGAGGGGTGCCAGTGGAGGCTGCTCAGAGAGAAAGGCTTTGAAGGAAGAGGAAGTGGCATTGAGTCCCCTGAGCAGAGGTTTGAGGCAGACTGTGGTGCACCTCAAGCTGCAGCTAGCTGGGAGCCTCTGGCAAGACTGTCAGGGAGGGGGAAGGGGTGGCAAGGTTTTGATTCTTACCATGGCCACCATTCAGTTTTCTTTATTTAACATTTCTACCTGCCTAGCAACAGTATTCTCATCCCGACATGAGGATCTTGAGATGAAGCAGCCAATCCATGGAGTCTTGGGCTTCCTGGCATGAAGATGGACTCACAAGAATAAAGATGGAAGGAGGGGATGGGGGTGTAGTAAGGCAGCAGAATTCTTCAGAACGACTGGGAACAGACTATTGAAAGGACATGGCACCAGCTATAAGGAAATAGTCACTAGGAAGAGAGAACCACTCATTTTTGGTTTCTCAGATGGTAGCATAGGATTCCCAGCAGATTAGGGGTTACAGGAGTCTGCCTTTTAGTCCTCATCTTCATAATCAGGTGATGTGGATTCCTGGCAAGAACACACCAGTGCATGGGAAGAGGAAGGATGTGCAGCCTGGAGAGCAGAAGTTCTGAGGAAGCAGAAAGTCACAGGCAGAGGAAGAAGAGAGCAGCAGAACAACGAAGAAAACAGAGAAGGAATCTCAGGGTCTGATGAAGAAGAAGCAAAACCAAACCAGTGGGAAGCTTTCCCAGCACAAGCCTCTCACAGGGCCTGGAGGAGAAGTCTGAGCTTAAGTGCTGGGCAAGCACTTGTATGGAATTAAGAGCATTTTCAGGATACAAACACCGTGCTTATCATAGCATGTTTAGGAGCCATCCCAGAAACCAGGATTCTCCCACAATACCTGAAAATGTTAGTAATCCAAACTAAAAACACAAAGATAATGAGAAAGCTGTGTTCTTCAACACACTCCAAATAGAAGACAACTGTTTGCTGTAGAGAAGTTATGTCAAGTATAATATACCAGAGCAAAAACCCTCAAGCTAGCATTTTAAGCTGAATAATTTTATGCTAGAGAAGTACTCTGCTATCTATTGTGCTTTTATTCAGCATGCATAATTACAAAATAATTTTAGTAGTATTTTGTGTCCATCGTGACCTGCTGCTCTGAGGTCAGGAAAACAAGGGTTCAGCTCTCCATGATCGCTTGACACAAATTAGACAAATTGTAGGCAGGTCTATATACCCTCTA